TAACGTTGAAACAAGATGTACAGTTTTTGTAGTGTGTGTGTGTGTGTGTGTGCACGTTCTAATGTAATACTGCATAATACATGAACGTCTGTTGCTCTAGTTTTGGATTGATCCTGTTTTAAATTAATATTTTGAACGCTGAAATCTTACTCTTCATCCTTTAACATTTATATATATATATATATATATATATATATATAATTATTATTATTAAGCAATCCATCGACTCTAGAAGAAACCTCAACGTACCAAAGGACCTCGCTGACGAAGAGGCAACTAATCAGACTCGATATAGCGCCGCTCGTTCACATATTCCGTGGTGGAACTCATCCGAGTTTCCCTTACCCATAGGACTGTGCCCTCCCCCACAAGCCACGACTATTATCCCCAAGTCGCTCCATCCAGAGCATTAGAAGCCAGTTCAAGCAAGGATATACAAGAGAGAGAAATTATTAGGAGGATTTGAGATAATTAATTCATCGTGTCTAGAAGAAACCTCAACAGAATTCAGAAAGCATAGGACGACCGTTTCGTCCTAGATTTGGGACTCATCAGCAGTGCGCATCCACTACCGAGAATTGAAACCCGAACAGTTACGATAGGAGGCAAACGTCATACCAACTGTACCCATAGGACTGTGCCCCCACGAGCCACGGCTACTATCTCCAAGCCATCAAGAAAAGAATACTGGGCATAAAGAAGGACGGTGAGTAATCTACCTAAAGTGCTTGTATGGCAGAGCAGGAAGAAATAGCAAGGGGACAAACATGGCTTAGATCTTGCTTAAATAATAGGAAGCTGTGGAAAGTCATGATCGCCCACGTCCTGAAGGGAACAGAGCAAGTACAAGAAAATTTTGTGTTAGAAAGTGTGGTCTTGTATATGATCATTAAAGATAGCTTGCTGAGGCAACAGAAATTTGGTTCCACAGCAGGATGTTGAAAATTCCATGGACTAAACATGTGAGCAACAACAAGATTTTATAGAAAATGGATACAAAAAGGAAACATTCTTAGAATCAGAAACATACATTTGAAATATCTATGGCACATAATGAGGAAAGAGGGCTTGGAAAACTTGACACTTACATGATATATTGAAGGCGAGAGAGACAGATTGAAACAGCGAAAAAAATCTATCTAACGGGTTTGTGTAAATGTTTGGCACAGCAAGGATTAATATTTTACTAAGAGCTACAAAGGGCAGAAGAATTGTGAAGATCCATGATCGCCAACGTCCTGAAGAAACATGGCACATAAAAATTGAAGAATATCTCAAGTTTCGTTCAGTGACTTTTACAGATTCACCAATTTCTTTCTTATTTCTATTGTTAGGACTTGCTATATTCATGACGTTTCGGTCGTTGTACGCTCCAGCCTTCTTCAGGTGATTGGAATTTCGAACTGAACCCTTTATTTCTTTTATTTTGATGTCCTGAGGAACATATGACCCAGTGGATAAAAGCGTTGGTTGACTCCGATAACTTGACCCAAAGAGTTGTGAGTTCAATACCTGGCTACAGCTATCTGTCTATATTTCTGGCTACAGCTGATGTGAACAAAAACTTGGAAAGTTTAGTTAAAGGGAGATAACTGATACTGAAACATCCTGAAAAGGCATGGCACCTGGAACTAGAACAATATTCCCTGGTGGACTAAATAAACGCTTTAACGAAGAATGCAAATAATTTCAATACCCCGTCTCAGAAATAAGACAGAATTTCCTTAGATAAATATATTTTCTCTTCTTACAATATAAGATAAAGGATGATAAAGTAAAGATTTCCACGACGATGGAATAAAAATGGGTTCTTTAAAGCCGAGAAATAAGATATATGATTCTTTCACTTTCTAGGAATCCTCGACAAGATCCAGAGACGGATAAGCAATATGGTTGGTCCTGACCTGGCATCTCGTCTTCAGTCGCTCTCTCACAGACGTGCCGTCGCCTCCTTCTGTCCTGTCTACAAATACTTTAACGATAACTGCTCCGACGAGCTACTTTCGCTAGTTCTCAGACTGCATGAATTTAAACGTGCTACTAGGCTGGCATCACGGTCCCACCATTTCACTATCGAAACGGTTAAATGTGGCCGTCTCTTCGAATCCTATAGCTTCATGTCTCGCACCTTCTGCCTGTGGGATTCCATTCCTATTACTTGCTTCTCTTATAGGTATAATCTCCAACTATGCAAATGTAATGTCAATCGACATCTCCAGATGCCCTGAACTATCCTCTGCCCTTCTCTTCACCCTTTCTTCCATCACGCCTCTTTACTCTCGCTCCGACTCTGTGACCCCCTGCGTACTAGTGGCATCCTGCCTTGCTTGGGGTGAAAGGCTTAAAAAAATATGAAATTTACACTTGCAAAGTGTCGTTTTCCTAGCAGTAATTTCACCAGAAAGAGAAATGAAAAACAGGGAAATGACAATACAAATTTTACTAGAATTAAGAAACATTCAATTAAAATCATCCAATCCATTCAATATTAGAGAAAAATAAGAGGTGTGAAATTAATCTTGGTATAAATTGTATAATAAGGAATCTGCAAATCTCAGTCCAGAAACAGAGCAACCCGCAAAAAATCAATAAAAATCGAGCTCCTCATAAAATTTAACTCAGAAAAAAATCAAATGAGAAATGTTTATTTGTTAATTCAAAAACCTATTTAAGTGGAACTTTAGGCCTATAACTGGCTTCAAAAGTATTTGGGATTATAACCTGGCATCAATCTTGTTAAAGAATATAGCGAGCTACAAAAATACTTGGTGCTGTGTCTGCCTTCAAATGTATTTGGGACTGTAACTGGCTACAAAGATATTTGTAAATGTATCTTTAAAAATATTTGGATGTCTATCTGACTACAAAAATATTTGGGACTGTAAATGTTTTGGAATTTGAAGGGAAACGTTGAAGTGAATTCATATTGTACATAGGACTCGTTTTCTTTTTGTAATTTTCACCAAATACAAGGCTCAAGAGCCACTCGAGATAGAGTGTTCCCAATTTAATATCATAAGGTTAATATCCGGGTTTAATTTTATAAAACCTCATCCCTCTCGCTAAACCTAATACCCCCCGCTCTCCCCGTGTCGTGCCTTTCGCCTGACTGAAACAATGAAATGGATGAATTCTGTCTTAATTTTTCAACAGCTTTAACAGTTAAATTTCTAATTCCACACGAACTCAGTCTTTATACTGGGGTTGAATAAGACTGACGAAGTTTTTGTAGGTTGAATTAGGTCTATTCCCCATATAAGTTAATTTTGAATTTTATTATATATATATACTATTTTATATATATATATATATATATATATATATATATATATTTATATATTGATGATTGAAACAGACTTATAATTAGTAACTGCCGGGTTTTATGAAATGTTCAGTGAAGGTGCTTAATATTATATATAGAGCTGAAATAAAATACATTAATATATGTTTTATATTGCATGTCATTTATAATTTTATGTTATACAGAGTACCCCACTCCGCACAAATTGACATCATTATGTAGTCTAATAACATACCCAATTTTCACTCAAATGATAAAATAAATATAAAAACTCAGTTGACTGTGCAAATTTATCACAATGAGAATCTACCAGGAAAATGAATTGTACGTGCCAGTGATAATGACAATAAGCTGTTGAAATGGCCACCCCGTTCACCTGACTTGATACCGTATGATTTTTTCTTCTATAGGGCTATGTGAAAAGATTAGGTCTATATCCCCCTATTTCTATAAGCCTAGAGGAACTTATGCAGAGAATCACTGAGGCATTAGATGATGCTATACAAGACATGCTACATCGTGTTTGGCAAGAGCTGGACTACTGACTTGATGTGTGTCATGTCACAGGTGGTTCGCATATCTAACATTTGGGAAGGTTTCTGAAATCGGTTTATAAAATTGACACCCCTTTAAATATATTGTTTGAATTTTGATAAATAAATCTTTTATTGTTCAACATGAAACCTATTTGATTTCGTTTACCTGGGACATAAATTTACTCAGATATTCACATTTTAAATTTTGTCAATTTTGGGCTCACCCTATATATATATATATATATATATATATATATATATATATAAATTATGTCAATTTTGGGGCCACCTATATATATATATATATATATAGGGTGACCCCAAAATTGACAATTATATATAAATATATATATATATATATATATATATATATATATATATATATATATTATATCAATTTTAGGGCCACCTATATATATATATATATATATAGGGTGACCCCAAAATTGACAATTTAATTATATATATATATATATATATATATATATATATATATATATATATAGGGTGAGCCCAAAATTGACATAATTTAAAAAAATGTGAATATATATATATATATATATATATATATATATATATATATATATATATATCAGCTCAGATGTAACTAAAATGTTATATGTAAAAAGGCAATAGGACTAAAGACAAAAGGAAATCTTTTCTTAGTCAACGAGTTTCGTCCTCTGATGGACTTCATCAAGGCAAATGTAAGGATATTACTTTGCAACAAATATTTAAAAATAGAAGTAAAAATATCGTTAGTTTTTCAGAATTTTTAAATTCAAGAACGCTCATAAATATTCTTCAGGCAAAGTAAAAGTAAATGTAAACTATGGAAGATGCTAGTGAAGTAATTTTAATATATTATAAACAAAAGTGATTCAATGATGTGCTGATTTTTTTATAATGCAATTATTGTTTATTTTATTTTAGTTCGATAAATTAATTTTCATATATACTTTAAACAATAAAAGGTTTTGAATTTAATTGTTTTTTCTTTTAATTATTTTATCGTCATATATTTTGGCTTTCCTAAAAGATATACTCCTTTCCCAAGCCATTATATATAACGATAGATGTTTTAAAAATTGAAAGAAAATGATTAAATTTAGAGAATGTTTGTCATTATAAATCATCTTTTAACCGTCACCATTGTTGAACCTATGTATCCTTTTTCTTGGGTAGTTATCAAATTTCAACGTGGCTCCATACACGACGTTATCCGCCAGTCAGTTACTGTTAAGGGGGATTTGTAAGATATCTGCAATTAAATTTGTCGTTGTTTCTTCTTTCCTTCTGTTTGATATTTTGCTCTTATAGTCCTTAACGAACTTTTCTATGTTCGGCCACATTCACTGTATTCCTGTTGAATACTTTATGTTCTATGGCATGCAAAAGTTTTCGAACAAATACGTAAAATGATTATACATATTTATTTTATTTAGAAGCTAATATTGTTTAGTAGTATGTTTTTATCGGTAGTGAATGTAAACATTGCGGGCTGGGAAATAACTTGTTGCGCTTTCGTAGGTTCTGTGTACCGGAAGATACCTCTTGAATCAGCTTGAAGTTGAAAAAAGGGCAAATCGAAACTATTGGGCCAATGAAAGATCAGAGATGATGAAGCCATGCTGAAAGGCACATTTCGAAGTAGGAATTGGTTAATCTTATTAATATGAATATAAGATACGCTGTCAAGTCTTTAGAGTCGAAAATAAATTTGCTTTTTAATGCTAAAATCATAGTTAAAATTTCTGATGAAAAAAAATGAAGGTTGTGACTTTGAAGGGGGAGATAACCCAAGAAGAGAGAGCCATGCGGTTGGGAATTTCAAGAAACAATGTTCCATCCAATGCATGTTATTACTGGAAGTGTTTTAAGTGCAAAGTTAAGTTAGATAAGAAAGATGAAAGAACGCAAGAGTATTACGAAAAATATATCCTGAACGGATGAACAAAACATCATTAATAAAAAAATAGGACAACATCAGAATAGAAGATTGAAGCGGTCAAAAGAACATCTAACGGGGATGCTGGAAAGTGGTATCTATCTACCTATCTATCTATCTATTGTAGTCTGCTTCTATCTATCTATTTATCTATCTATCACAGTCTGTTACTATCTATCTTAGTATATTCACATTATCTATCTATCTATCTATCTATCTATCTATCTATCTATCTATCTATCTATCAGTCTGTTACTATCTATCTTAGAATATTCACATTATCTATCTATCTATCTATCTATCTATCTATCTATCACAGTCTGTTACTATCTATCTTAGTATATTCACATTATCTATCTATCTATCTATCTATCTATCTATCTATCTATCTATCTATCTATCACAGTTTGTTACTATCTATCTTAGTATATTCACATTATCTATCTATCTATCTATCTATCTATCTATCTATCGTAGTCTGTTCCTATCTATCTATCTATCTATCTATCTATCTATCTATCTATCTATCTATCTATCTATCTGTCTATCGTAGTCTGTTCCTATCTATCTTAGTATATTCACATCTATCTATCTGAGTAAATTCATATCTATCTATTCTATATCTATATCGCAGTCTGTTCCTATCTATCTATCTATCTATCTATCTATCTATCTATCTATCTATCTATCTATCCCTACATATAATCATATGTATAGCTATAGATAGATCGCTATGGATGTATTTTACAGACGAGAAAAGTTTTATTTGGAAAATGATATTCCACTTCAAAAAAGTTTACTTTCTATAAATAGCCTTTTCCTGTTCTTCACGAAACAACAGAAAATATAATAAAATGAAATGAAAAATAAAAGTAGATAAATATATATCGGAACAGGTTCCGGCAATAAAAAAGAAAATTATATAAATCTTTCTTTCTTTCTTTCTTTCTTTCTTTCTTTCTTTCTTTCTTTCTTTCTTTCTTTCAGCTTTTTTCTGTCTTTCTTTCCTTCGTTCTTGCATTTCTTTATTCATCCTTTCTTTCTATACATAATTATTTCATTTCATTTCTTTCTCCCCCCTGTCTTGTACTTAACGAAGGGTTCCGCCTTTAACGGCCGCTGGAACTGCTCAAACATCAAAGACATTTTGAAATAAAAAGGTCTGCGCAACGAATGGCAAAATATTAGAATTGAGAAATAACAGGATCGGAAGAAATGAACAGACAAGTCACACACAAACACACACACGCGCATATATATACACACATATATATATATATATATATATATATATATATATATATATACGTACGTTTGAAGAAATGAAGTCATATATATATATATATATATATATATATATATATATATATATATATATATATATATATATATGTGTGTGTGTGTCTTTATCTTTTTAAAATGTTATTTAATGGTTATCCATATTTGAGTAGACGCTCCGTTCATTTATCAAACAATATATTTATTTATTCTCGTATATATCATATTTTATATATATATATATATATATATATATATATATATAGTGTGTATTTAGACAGCATTTTGTCATTAATGCATGTTTCATTAAATAATATAGACAAGTTTTGTCGATTTAATCAAATTCCTTTCATATCGTCTGATAAGCTTAATAACATTATCATTGAAAGGCGAAAGAAAATCACAATATTGATACATGTTTTTTAATCCTAACTAAACTTTCGGCTTACATAAGCCATCATCAAAGATGCCAATAAAATTACAATATATTAAACAATACACGAACATAAAAATAATGATAGTCTGTTTTTGTTTGCATGGAAAATTTCCAAGCAACCACACATTTCGTGCATACGAGACGCTGGAAGGGAAAATCCCACCGCAGCCCAGGGCATCACATATGACGACGCGAGATGTAAAACGAGAAATTTTAAATATAGGAAGCCGTTGGTATAATTGTAATGTACTTATCATCTCATTAACATAAATAGAAAAAACTCGTCTATATTAGTTAACAAACATGCTTTGATATATATATATATATATATATATATATATATATATATATATATATAAGAGTGGGCAAGTGTGCGTACTTGTGTGTAAGTATAAATGTATTAATGTCAATTTTAGGATTTTTTCCGTTGAATAGAAATGTTTCTTTTCAATTATGGCCAATTTAGATATATTTATATACAAATATCTTTTTAAAGAAATGCCTAAAGTTGCGAACAATATTTCTTACAAAAACAAAAATAAAATTACCTCTTCGCACACATAAGATCATAAACATGTGACAGTTATTTACTAATCATTTTTACACTTCCGATAGCAATTTTTATAAACACAATTTGGTTTGCCAATGGATTCTCCTCTTAGCGCCAATGAGCCCGTCGCTTTTAGAATTTCTAGAAAGTGGTCCTTATTCTTATTTTAGATATACCATTCGTCCTTGCATGGAATATTGTTGACATATATCGTCTGTTGCCCACTCTGTTCATCTCAAGGTTTTTGATAAAATACAAAGACGGATATGCAATGTGATCGGTCCTGACTTGGGGGTCTTGACTTCAGTCACTTTCTCACTGATGTAATGTGGCTTCCCTCTGTCTTTTCTATAAATATTTTCATAGCAGCTGCTCTGATGAACTATTTACCCTGGTGCCCCGACTTTAAGCGTGCTACAAGGTTGGCATCTCGTCCCACCCTTTTACTGTCAAAACAGTTAAATGTAACCGCCTCTTCTACTCCAACAGCTTTTTCTCTTGCACTTCCTGACAGTGGAACTCCCTTCCTCTTACTTGCTTCTCTGATAACTATAATCTTCAAAAATTTAAATGTAATGTCAATCGACATCTTCTATTGCCTTGATCTCCGTTCTTCTTTTCATCCTTTCCTCAATCCCTCCATACCCAGTTTTTTTCCTTACTTATACTCTCTGTAACCCCCTTGCGTACTAGTGGCATTTCCGCTTTGATTGGGTTGAAATGCTTAAAAAGTAATGTATGACACTTTAGTAATATATCCATAACTAGCTGTAGAGCCCGGCGTTGCCCGGGGATGTAACAGTAAGAGATAGATCAAGTATCGACCATCATAAAAACTGAAAAATAAAATTGACAAAGATTATTGTTTATGGTTGACGGACACGCAAGTCTTAATTAGTTTTTTTTTCTGCTGTTTAAGAATTGGTCAAACCCAAACTCAAACAAAAACATTGTTTTCAATCGTTATGAGTCTACCGATTGAATAGCATTTTATTATAAACAATTGTCTTGTAAATGGAGTTTTTAAAGCATTCTGAATGTAAAAATAAAGAAAAAAGGGTGCAAGACAATAAGAAACACTACCTGCCAAAAAAAAAAGTGAAATTTTGTTGAAATTGGATGTAAAATATAGGAAATATATAAACGAACACACACACACACACACACACACACACACACACACACACACATATATATATATATATAGTGATTAAAATATTTTTATTTTCCAAAGACGGTCAATATATTATGACCGTATTCATAATTCATATTATTGAATGTTGGTTTTTCCGTTTTTTAGTATAAATTCATCCATTATATTTAACCGTTTTTTACATGAGTGATGTAACATGAGTCTTCTTGAAAACATGTTGTGGTATTTCCAATATAATTATTCCTGAATTTGGTATAATCAGAAACGCAGTTCCTTAAGGGGGGCAATATTAGTTATGAATTTAGTGAATCTTGGAAAGCGCATCAAGCTTTGCATCAGAAATGATTGAAATCATATTGAAGATGTTCTTTGTTAATATTCCAATTCAATAAAATGTTGTTGAAAATTTAATTTCTTGGAAATATGTATTTTTGCCTAGGTGTTCAGACTTTAGGGACACCATATATATATATATATATATATATATATATATATATATAGTCTCCCTAAATAAATCTCTCCGTTTCTTTCTTATTTATATATATATATATATATATATATATATATATATATATATAGTCGCTAAAATATATATATATATATATATATATATATATATATATATATATCTCCCTAAATAAATCTCTCCGTTTCTTTCTATATATATACAGTGTAACCCGGATATAAGAGACCCGGATATAAGAGAAACCCGGATATAAGAGAGATTTTCTCTGGTCCCAAATTAGAGCCTGTGTTAATGTATATAAAATAGACCAAACCCGGATATAAGAGAAACCCGGATATAAGAGACTTCTCCGGTCCCGACAACTCTCTTATACCCTGGCTACACTGTATATAGCCTCTCTAAATATATATATATATATATATATATATATATATATATATATATATCTCCCTAAATAAATCTCTCCGTTTCTTTCTTATATATATATATATATATATATATATATCAGAAAGAAAAGAAGAGATTTATTTAGGGACACCATATATATATATATATATAATAGAATTTTTATTACTTAAGCGTTATTTTTAATGGATGCTCGTATTTGATTAGACGCTCTATTTATTTATTAAACAGTAATTTTTTTATTTACATCTACCGGCCTATAGCTGAGAGTTTGAAAGGCGTCAGATATACTGAATCCTGCTGGAGAGCGCATATTTTTCTCTAAGATTTCTGGAACATTCAGTCCGGTAGATGAAAATGAATAAACATCCTGTTTAAAAAATAAGGAGAGCGTCTACCCAAACAACTGCGTTCATAACAATAACGTTTGAATAATAAAAAATCTGTCAGATTCATCAATTTTTGGACATTTTGTTTATTAATCTGATAGCTTTTATCACTTTCAACGTTGTTTTTACTGAATACTGATATTTGAGTAAACCCCTAGTTTATTTAATTTTTGAGTAAACGCCCAGTTTATTTAATAAACAGCATATTTATTTATTTTCGTTTACCGGCTTGAATAATCGAGAAATCTTATATTTATAAGCACTATTCGTCGCGTCCACTTTTGGCTGATAGAACCACTATTAGATCAGACGTGTTTTAACTGACTAGGCCACGAAGAATCTTTGCCGATTAAACGAGGTTAAATAGTGCCTTTAATCGAAATGCTTCCTGTGACGAAAATAAATAAATATACTGTTTAATAAAAAAAAGGAGCGTCTATTCAAATATGAGCATCCACTAAAAATAACGTTTAAAGTTATAATATATAAATATACATATTTTTCTCGAATATTCAGGCCGGTAGGTGTAAATAAATAAATATACCGTTTAATAAATAAATAAAAACAGAGCAGCTCCTCAAATATGAGTATCGATTTAAAAATATAGTTTAAACAAAAAAATTAGACATGTACACACACACACACACACACACACACACATATATATATATATATATATATATATATTTTAGTTGGATTGATGTGAGTTTTTGACCCGGGGTTTCACGCTTTTGCGATCGTCAGACAAACTGATTAATTTTTTTTATATACACACACTTTTCACACACACACACACACACACACACACACACACACACACACACACACACACACATATATATATATATATATACCATATATATATATATATATATATATATATATATATATATATATATGAATGTAGCTGTTAAATCCTAGATATTTCTCTTACTGATTTTCTCCCACTGTGACCGAGATATATAGATAAACACACACACATTTGTGTGTACGTTTAGTATATATATATATATATATATATATATATATATATATGTATACACACATATATATATATATATATATATATATATATATATATATATAATGCAGCTAATGTTATACATACATAATTATATGATTTGATCATGAAATAGAAAATGAACAAGTAATATGTCCAATTAATACAACCAAATTATTTAAAATGTAATTGAGGAAACCGTTTTCTCGTAGTATCTCACTATATATATATATATATATAAATATATATATATATATATATATATCAACGCCTGTGGCCTCAAAATCGAACGTTAATTGGCTGTAGTAATTTCCCCTGGCATTACTTCTTTCTTAATATTTCTTAATATCTTTTTCCTTTTTCTTTTTCTTCCAGACTTCTTCCTTTCTGTCTTCGTCTGTGCATTCTTTTCTTCATTATTCCATTTCAGTTTTCGGAGACGAATTGAAAGCCGACAATCGGCACACTTTAATAATTTCTGCGCAGAATCTGTAATTTGGTTGTACTGCGCATCTAAGATGTCGTTTACAATTGAAACCTATTATATACCAGTACCGAACGTAACTATATAACCGATCACGTTATGACAGAGACGGTTACTGGAAGACATTTTTTGAGGGGTCACAAATCATCGGGCAGGCCGCTCTGGTGGTGTAGGTATTTAGAGAAATAGTAAAGCTAATTGACAGGTAACAGATCAGAGAATTTAGAGTAAGTAGAAATAAGTAAAAGACTTTTTTTTTCTTTTTCGATAAAGTAAATTATTGTTGAAATAAGAAAAGTGAAGAAGACTGCGTTGGAATATGTATGTAGAGAGGTTCGTTATAAAAGAATAAACGAAGGAAAAGAGAATGAGGAAGAAAGAAAGAGACAAATAAAAACGAACTGATTGGCATTTCACCCCCAAGCAAGGCAGGAAGCCACTAGCACGCAAGCGGTTACAGAAAATTTGGAGCAAGATCAGATAGGAGTGATAGAAGAAAGGATGAGGAGAAGGGTAGTGGATAGATCAAGGCAACTGGAGATGTCGATTGACATTACATTTGAATAGCTGGAGATTATAGCTATCAGGGAAACAGGAATAGGGAAGGGACTTCCACAGACAAGAGGTGAGAGACATGAAGCTATTAGAGTAGAAGAGACGGCTACATTTATGAGTTTCGACAGTGAAAGGGTGAGAGTGAGATGCCAGCCTCGTAGGGCGCTTGAATTCATGAAGCCTGGGAACCAGCGAAAGCAGCTCATCGGAGCAATTACCATGAAAGTAGTTGTAAAAAAGACAGACAGAAGCGACGGCACGTCTGTGAGAGAGCGACTGCAGACGAGATGCCATATCAGGGCCAATTACATTGCATATCCGTCCCTGGATCTTATCAAGAAACCCGTGGCAAACAGAAGGGGCTCCAGATCATATATGGCAGCAATACTCCATGCAAATAAAGAAAAGAAAAAAGTCTAAAAAATGTAACTGATGAGAGAAAGTAAAAGACGTTATTTGGGTTGATAAATTTTACGACATGTCAGACATTATTGGATTATTATAAATCATTTTTTTTATTATTATACTTGAATCTAAGGGCAAATATACGTCCTGTTTCATATTTTTGTCGATAGATAAACATTAGTCGTCTTTATTATACTTGAGGAGATAAGTAAACTTTGTTCGAGTTTATACTTGATTCGATAGGCAAACATTGGTTATACGTGCCTGGGTTTGCAAGCACCCAGGCGATAGGTGACCATACTCCTCCTTTTTTCTTCTTCCTTTTTTTTTCTTTTACTTTTTCTTATATTCAATACCTTCTTCCCATTCTCACGTCGGCATGGACATGAACACACTAACTTGCAGACGGTTAAGTCCATTCGAAGGTGAGGAGGGGGAGCTTAACTGTCTGCAAGTCAGTGTATTCCTGTCCACGCCGACGTGAGAATGGGAAGAAGTTATTGGATATAAGAAAAGAAGTAAAAGAAAATATTAAAGAGAAAAAAAGAGGAGGAAAAACAAGAAAATGAGAAATTGAAGAGAAAAGAGAAGAAGAAGGGGATAGCGAAAAGAAAAAAGAGGTTAAAAGAAAAGAAATGAGATTGAAGAGAAAAAAGAAGGAAAAGGAGAGAGTGAAGAGAAATATGAAAGAAAAGGAGAGATTTAAGAGGAAAACGAGAGATTGAAGTGAAAAAGAAAGAAAAGAAGAGATTGAAGAGAAAAATGAAGGAAAAAGTGAAGGAAAAGGAGAGATTGAAGGGAAAGAAGAAGGAAAAGGAGAGATTGAAGGGAAAAAAATGGAGAAAAAATATTGAAAAAAAAGAAGGAAAAATAGAGATTGAAGATAAATAAATAGGATTTAGTCGCCGTAGTTAAAAATTTAAAAAAAAATGAATTAAAGCCGGTTCCCCCACCAGGCTTTTTGTTGAGAACAGTGGCTAGACACTCAGTCGGATTAAAATAATGTATTGTTAGGGGACGGATGTACCTTATCGGCTTCCATAGTTAATGCATGACCAATGTGATGATGGCATGTTATTTCTGGGCGGACGGCCAACTATGCTGAAGTGTACGGCCAAGGCAGAAGGTTTCCCGATGGAATCAACGGCCATGTATCCATGACCAAGGCGTGCCCTCAAGTTAGAAGACATCAGCTTAATTGGAGACGGATGAGCTCCGTCTTATTTGTTCAAGAAACTCTATAGCTAAATGACCATATTTGGCTTTTAAATTTTAAATGATATATTTGGCTTAATTGACAAAACAGTTAATATTTTTAATAAGTACGTCGACACTGTAAAAGGATTAGAAAGCATGTAAATGTCACAGAAAATGCGACAAGAGTGATACATCAAATTTCTTGTCACTAATAGTATTAAAATTGAATGACAAATAAACTAAATAAAAGACAAATTTTAGTAAATAACACCAAAATGTTATATAGGAAAGAAAGACTCCAAAGTCTAGAGGCTACTTTGATAAAAGTAAAACAGGCAAAATTAAATAAGGTATCTTTCTGCATATAAAGGGGTGGGGCGTATAGAGAGGGTTTAAAATAAAACAAAAACATAAATATTTCAGTTTGATCGTCTGTATGAAGTCACCTTGAGTGAGTTGAAATCGGTTCCATCAAATGTGAGAACGCCGGGATTAAAAACTTGTTGCATAATTACACACAGAACAATCCTTGAAAATGAATGTATCAACATTCGAAAGTACATTGGGAAAACAATAATATAAAATAAAAGTTGATATGAATTTTGGCAAATTTACCGATAAAACAAAACTTATTCGGAAATATGAATGATTAAATAAAAAAAAAATGATAGAACTTGTCCATATATAGCTTTTTCTGACAAATCCAAATTTTGAAATAATTATGTTAGATATACTACAACATACCTAACAGGAAGACTCAAGTTACATCTTTCTGACCATAGATCAATTAGGTGTCATTTACACATGGAGACCTATCAAACTCTATCCGTAACATACTCGTTATTAA